GCGAAGTCATGGACCAAGCGAAACAAAGCTGAAAAGGGGGTGGAGAGTTTCAGTGGGGAGGGAATTAAATGGGATTAAATTGGGAGTTTGAGAGAGACTTAGAGCAAAGGAATAGGGGTAGCTGTAGTAATGTTAAATGTCAGTTATGGAAGGAGAAAGCGATTATGAATGTGTAAATTCAAGAATTATGTGGATTAAAGTAAAGGTTCTGGATGCGTGAAGTGGGTCATAATAAGGTGTATGACCTGGAGAAGAGAGGAATGCAGAGGAGACAGAGAGATTTTGGGTCAGTTGTTAAGTGAATGTTTGGAGCCTTTGAACAAGTGAGAGGTAATTGTGGTAGGGGACCTGAATGCTTAGTAGGAGAAACTTTTAGAGAGGGATTAGTGGTAGGTAAGTTGGCTAAGGTGCCTGGTGTATGGTGCCAGGTGGTTGTAAATGAATAATGGGAAGCCTTTGAATGAAACTTTGTATAGAAAGGGGTTGGTTTAGTTAATAGGTAATACATATTTTAGAGAAAGAGGAATAAATAACGTATACAAGATATGATGTAGGGCGAAATGACAGTAGTTTGTTGGCATTATGGATGGTTGGTAAAAAGACTGTTGGGTAGACTTCAGGATGTATATGTTTATAGAGGGGCCACAGTTAATATATCAGATCACTTTCTAGTTGTAGCTAAGATACACTGAGAGTAAAAGGTAGATGGGATACATGGGATAGAAGCATCAGGGAAGAGAGAGGTGAAGGTTTTAAAACTTAAAGAGGAGGCAGTTAGGGTAAGTTATAAACAGATATAGGGTTGATAGATGGGCTAATGAGAGGCATAGGAAATGGGGTCGAAGAGGTTTGGGGTAGGTTTAAAAATGTAGTGTTAGTTGTTCAGCAGAAGTTTTAGAAGTTTGTGGGTACTAGGAAAGTGGGTGCAGGAGGGGAAGAGGAGCGCGATTGGTGGGGATGATGATGTAAAGAGATTAGTAAGGGAGAAAAAGTTAGCATTATGAGAAGTTTATACATAGTAGAAGTGATGCAAGGAAGGAAAGAGTATTATGGAGGAAAAAGAGAGAGGTTAAAGAGAGTGGTGAAGCATTTGTAAAAAGAGAGCAAATGAGAGAGAGAGGGGTGACTGTTACAACATATTTTGTGAAATAAGAAAAAGTTTTGGAGTGAGATTAACAAGTTAAGAAAGCCTAGAGAACAAATGGATTTGTCAGTTAAAAATAGGAGAGGAGAGTTATTAATGGAGAGTTAGAGGTATTGGGAAGATGGAGGGAATATTTTGAGGAATTGTTAAATGTTGATGAAGATAGGGAAGCTGTGATTTCGTGTATAGGGCAAGGAGGAATAACATCTTGTAGGAGTGAGGAAGACCCAGTTGTGATGTGGGGGAAGTTCGTGAAGCAGTAGGTAAAATGAAAGGGGGTAAGGCAGCCGAGATTGATGGGATAAAGATAGAAATGTTAAAAGCAGGTAGGGATATAGTTTTGGAGTGGTTGGTTGCAATTATTTAATAAATGTATGGAAGAGGGTAAGGTACCTAGGGATTGGCAGAGAGCATGCATAGTTCCTTTGTATAAAGGCAAAGGGGATAAAAGAGAGTGCAAAAATTATAGGGGGATAAGTCTGTTGAGTATACCTGGTAAAGTGTATGGTAGAGTTATTATTGAAAGAATTAAGAGTAAGACTGAGAATAGGATAGCAGATGAACAAGGAGGCTTTAGGAAAGGTAGGGGGTGTGTGAACCCAGGTGTTTACAGTGAAACATATAAGTGAACAGTATTTAGATAAAGGCTAAAGAGGTCTTTGTGGCATTTATGGTTTTGGGAAAAAAGGCGTATGATAGGGTGGATAGGGGGGCAATGTGGCAGATGTTGCAAGTGTATGGTGTAGGAGGTAATACTGAAAGCAGTGAAGAGTTTTTACGAGGATAGTGAGGCTCAAGTTAGAGTGTGTAGGAAAGAGGGAGATTATTTCCAGTAAAAGTAGGCCTTAGACAAGGATGTGTGATGTCACCATGGTTGTTTTATATATTTATAGATGGGGTTGTAAGAGAAGTAAATGCGAGGGTCTTGGCAAGAGGCGTGGAGTTAAAAGATAAAGAATCACACACAAAGTGGGAGTTGTCACAGCTGCTCTTTGCTGATGACACTGTGCTCTTGGGTGATTCTGAAGAGAAGTTGCAGAGATTGGTGGATGAATTTGGTTAGGGTGTGCAAAAGAAGGAAAATTAAAGGTGAATACAGGAAAGAGTAAGGTTTTTGAGGATAACAAAAAGATTAGGTGATGAAAGATTGGATATCAGATTGGAGGGAGAGAGTATGGAGGAGGTGAACGTATTCAGATATTTGGGAGTGGAGTGTCAGCGGATGGGTCTATGAAAGATGAGATGAATCATAGAATTGATGAGGGAAAAAGAGTGAGTGGTGCACTTAGGAGTCTGTGGAGACAAAGAACTTTGTCCTTGGAGGCAAAGAGGGGAATGTATGAGAGTATAGTTTTACCAACGCTCTTATATGGGGGTGAAGCGTGGGTGATGAATGTTGCAGCGAAGGAGAAGGCTGGAGGCAGTGGAGATGTCATGTCTGAGGGCAATGTGTGGTGTGAATATAATGCAGAGAATTCGTAGTTTGGAAGTTAGGAGGAGGTGCGGGATTACCAAATGTTGTCCAGAGGGCTGAGGAAGGGTTGTTGAAGTGGTTCGGACATGTAGAGAGAATGGAGCGAAACAGAATGACTTCAAGAGTGTATCAGTCTGTAGTGGAAGGAAGGCGGGGTAGGGGTCGGCCTAGGAAGGGTTGGAGGGAGGGGGTAAAGGAGGTTTTGTGTGCGAGGGGCTTGGACTTCCAGCAGGCATGCGTGAGCGTGCTTGATAGGAGTGAATGGAGACAAATGGTTTTTAATACTTGACGTGCTGTTGGAGTTTTTGGGGGGAAAATTTAACATTTATAAAGGGATTCGGGGAAAACCGGCGGGCCCGGGAAATTTGAGCCGGGGAGTTTGGGGAAAGTACAGTCCCTGCACTTGAAGGAGGGGGGGTTTAATTTTGCTTTTAAAAAAACTGTAGTTTTAAAAGCCCCTTTCCCCCGGAAAAGACAGTAAATGGAGTGATGTTTGGTAAAATTTTTTCCCCTTTTCGGGGCCCCCCGGGCCTTGGGGGGGAATGGGGCCCAGTGTGATAAAAATAAAAAAAAAAAAAATTAATATATTATTTTATATATATATATATTTATATATATATATTTTATATTATATATATTGGGAATATGCATTGTTATTTTTTTTAAATTTGTTAGTTCCGCAGTTATTTATGCTCTTTATGTAATAATTTTTTTTAAAATTTTCCCGTTTTTTTTGGCTAGCATTTTATACAAAATTTCCCACTATGTTTGTATTTTATTTTTGCATACACACTTTGTGTAAAGGAGACGGTAGGTATGAAACCCTGGCCACAGGTAGGCCTGTAACATGGCAAAAAGGTAGGCCTTTTTTTTAACCCCGGGCCCACAGGTAGTCCTGTAACCTGGCACAGGTAGGCCTGAAAACGGCAAGGGGGGCCTGAAACCCTGGCACGGTATTTCTGTAACCGGGCACAGGTAAGCCTGTAAACCGGGCCCACAGGTAGGTCTGAAAAATGGCACAGGTAGGCCTGTAACCTGGCACAGGTGGGCCTGTAACCTGGACAGGTGGGGGCCTGAAACCCTGGCCCCAGGTGGGGTCTGAAAAACCTTGGCACAGGTGGGCCCTTGAAACCTGGCACAGGTAGGCCTGAAAACCTGGCACGGGGTAGGCCTTAACCTGGCACAGGAAAGGCCTGTAACCTGGCACAGATGGGCCTTTTCAAAAAAAAAAATGTCGCTATCAAAAATATTTCAAAAAAAACTTTTTTTTTAACGGAAATTTAAAGGAGAATAGTTTGGGGAGGAAAAAATGAATATAAACATTGGTGGGAAAGGAGAAAAGGTGAGTAGTAAGTTTGGGGTAGGCGATTATGGAAAAAAATAAAGCAGGGGAAAAACAAAGGAGGAAAATTTTTAAAACGGGGAAGAGAAAAAGGGTTTTTTAGGGCAGGTGTGAAAAGGGGGATTGAAGGAAGGGCAGGTGTTCATTTGTACCCCTGTTCAAGTACACAGGGTTTATTGTTTTAAGGCCCCAAGATGTTAAATTTTACCCCAGAGATTTTTCCCAGATTTTTTTTTTAAATATATTCTCACACAAAAGGTAGCTACGTTTCCAGATGGTCCCCTTTTAAAAAGAACTTACCGCGTATCATACATTTTAATTGAAAAAGGGTTTGTTCACGTGTATTTTGGTTTGGGGATTCTAACATAGGTTTTTCCTACACAATGGAGTTTTTTCACAGAGGGTTTTCCTCCATTAACGGCTTTACGTAGTGCCCCATCAAAAGGGTTTTAGCGAAAATGAACTTTTAAAAAAAATCCCAACTGATTTCTAAATCATTTTTGGTCTTTCCCAAACCCGATGAGCTAAGTTCATTCTGTCCTCCAAAACTGAGTAACTTAAAAGAAAGAAGTTTCCCGATCCCTCAGACTGGCTAATTTGGGGTTTTTTTAAAGAAAAAGGAAAAGAATAGGGCAGGGGTCCCAGGGGTCTCTCCAGGTAAAAACTCCCCAAAACCGCGGTACTTTGGAAAAAGATTTCGGCCCTTACATGTATTATTTAAAAACATTTTATGTAGGTCCGACTGCAATTGTTTAATAGTTAAAAAAATTATTGTTATTTTTAAAAAATTACAAAAATGTGACCCTGAAGGGAACTGCGGGACCCAACCGTGTGGGGGAATATATATAAGGGTAATTTCACCTATCATTATGTTACTTTTTAATACCCCCCTTTAAATTTGGGGTTTTCAAATTGCCCCCTTCTTTTGAAAAAGGGTTGGGGGTTAATGAACAGGTTTTTTTGCCTTACCAAGAGTTGCTATCGGTATAATTTTTCATAATCTGCAGTTTGGCTAATCTTGTTTTTATCCTTTCCAACAGGTGGTGAGCCTGGTGCAGACACTGATTTTTTCGTGGGTGTTGCTGGAGACCTATCTGTCTTACCAGTCCATTATTTCCGTCACTGCTGACAACGCCACCTCAGACTCCTCATCCGCATCATATTACTTCTCCTCGGCCACCTGCCCCATCGGCTTTCTTCCTGTGGCCTCGAAGTCCAACCCGACGAATTTCTCCGACGATTACTACGAGAACGAGGACTCAGAGGATGAAGACTCGACGCAGCAGACATTACTGACGGTGGTAGGCGACACTAGCTCTCCCCCTTCATCCACATCATCGCTCACGTTAGAATCCAGACTGGAAGAGATTTCCGTGGTCATGTCATCTACCACGACAATATCTTCTCTGTCGCAGTCTCCCAAATCGGCTTCGGTCCTCGGGAATGACGGAGGGATCCTGGTACTATCGTCGTCACAGTCTTTGCCTGAGGTTGAGAGCAACAACACTCACATCGAGTCTTCCGCCTCCAGTGCAACACCTAAGGCCAACTCCACGGCGTCGGCAACACCCAATGTCTCCAGAAGGACGCCAAGAATCACATGCGCTGCTCCAGGTAGGAGAAGCTCTTGAGGACAAAGGCACAAGTTGCATCGCAATCTAACAATGAAAAAACAGACACAAATGCAATATAATGCGATTCTTTACTGACAACTTTTCGTCTTATAGTGAGCTTTATCAAGTAGCAAATAGATCTGTTTGTTATTTAATAAAGTTCACAACCTGAGCAAAATGTAACCAATAAAGAATCGCATTGTACTGTATTTGTGTCTATTTTTCCATCGTGTCGGCATTTTTTATTATTTATTTCCATCACAGGCTAACACTGGCACACTGTTTCACGCCGTGAACCAGTGTCATAAATCTACACAGAGGTCATAAATCTACACAGAGGTCATAATCCTACACTAGAGGTCATAAATCTACACAGAGGTCATAATCCTACACAGAGGTCATAAATCTACACAGAGGTCATAAATGTACACAGACTGAAACGTAGTTTTAATACAGAGTTCTACAATCTGCGCATTCGTCTTCATAGTTTTCGGCTCTATACCATTTCTTCTACGAGTTACTTTCTTTTCTTAAAATAAAGTCAGTGAAGCATAATGAAACTACATCATCCACATGACGCTACATCCACGGAAAAAGGAGTATTGATTGAAGACAGAAATTTCCATGATCTCGGTGTAGCTTTTCTGACTCGATTACTGCATTAAAAAAATTGCTGGAACCATAAGGGTCACACAATTTTATTTTTACACGTTTCTGTAATTCCTTTTCCTAAATACTTCAGGTATCTTTTGGAATTAAAAGTTTGTCCAGCCAAAGGTTTTTTTCCATAATTTAACGAGTTATAGATAAATATTTTTTGTTACGCTCGTAAATTGATATTTATTTGTTTTACCGCTGATCACAGTCTGGGTTATTATTTTATGGGATGACTATAACTGTTTCGTCGTTGTTTTTCTGAGCAAAAAAATAACATGGTGATGGTCTAAATTTTGTTTATACTGGTCGTGATGTGTATTTATTCTCGCTGCTTCTGAAATGACTATCATTAAGGTAGTTATTTATACTGACCACCTGCTGGTGTCCTACTTCTGTTTTCACAGTTGTCCCACCGCTGCCACCACTAGCATCCCACCGCTGCCACCACCGGTGGGATGCTAGTGGTGGCAGCGGTGGGATGCTAGTGGTGGTAGCGGTGGGATGCTAATGGTGGCAGCGGTGGGATGCTAGTGGTGGTAGCGGTGGGATGCTAATGGTGGCAGCGGTGGGATGCTAGTGGTGGTAGCGGTGGGATGCTAGTGGTGGTAGCGGTGGGATGCTAGTGTTGGCAGCGGTGGGACAACTGTGAAAACAGAAGTAGGACACCAGCAGGTGGTCAGTATAAATAACTACCTTAATGATAGTCATTTCAGAAGCAGCGAGAATAAATACACATCACGACCAGTATAAACAAAATTTAGACCATCACCATGTTATTTTTTGCTCAGAAAAACAACGACGAAACAGTTATAGTCATCCCATAAAATAATAACCCAGACTGTGATCAGCGGTAAAACAAATAAATAAAAATTTATACTGACCAACTGCTGGTGTCCTACTTCCGTCTTCACACTTGGTCTCATGCTGCCACAAATTCCCACTGCGTCCACTAGCTATCCCACTGTTGCCATTAAATTGTTGCCAACTAGGCTGTCCACACAATTTTTTCACGTTCTGCCACCACTTAGTTCTGGAATTCAAAGTTGTCCAGCCAATAGTTCCCACTACTTGCCACCACTTTAGTAACTTTGCTGCCTAACAATATTATCTGTTACTGCTGCTCACCACTAGGTTATCTTACTGGACATACCACTAGTATTCGCTCGTGTCTGGCAACACAATGTACCCACTGCTGGCCACATTATTGTTCCCACTGCTGCCACATAGTGTATCTACTGCTGCCAACCACTAGTATCCCACTTGCTGCTCACCACATATGTTATCCACTGACTGCACCACTGTGTCCACTTCTGTTCACCATAGTTGTCCCACGCTGCCACCACTAGTATTCCACGCTGCCACACCATACTAGTGGTCCCACGTGGCGACTCTAGTGTGCACGTGCGGTGCAGGCATACGTATCCTACTGCTGCTACGCTAGTGGTCCATGCTGGCCACACTGTGATCCACTGCTGCACCAGTGACCACTGCTGCAACACGAGTGGTCCACCTGCATGGCACATAATGTTACCTATGTGCCACGCACATGATACTACACTCGCCACCACTAGATGACCAACTCTGCCACACTGTTATCTCTTGCTCGCAACCAACTAGTGTCCACATGCTGTCCACCACTATGATCACCGACTGTGCACACCGTATGTACCAATGCTGCACCACTATGTCCACTGCTGCCACCTACTAGTGTCCACTTCTGCCTCACTAGTGTCCCACTGCTGCCACCACTAGTGTCCCACTGCTGCCACCTCTAGTATACCACTGCTGCCACCACTAGTATCCCACTGCTGCCACCACTAGTGTCCCACTGCTGCCACCACTAGTGTCCCACTGCTGCCACCACTAGTATCCCACTGCTGCCACCACTAGTATCCCACTGCTGCCACCACTAGTATCCCACTGCTGCCACCACTAGTATCCCACTGCTGCCACCACTAGTATCCCACCACTGCCACCACTAGTATCCCACTGATGGCCACCACTAGTATCCCACTGCTGCCACCACTAGTATCCCACTGCTGCCACCAGTAGTATCCCACTGCTGCCACCACTAGTATCCCACTGCTGCCACCACTAGTATCCCACTGCTGCCACCACTAGTATCCCACTGCTGCCACCACTAGTATCCCACTGCTGCCACCACTAGTATCCCACTGCTGGCACCACTAGTATCCCACCACTGCCACCACTAGTATCCCATTGATGGCCACCACTAGTATCCCACTGCTGCCACCACTAGTATCCCACTGCTGCCACCACTAGTATCCCACTGCTGCCACCACTAGTATCCCACTGCTGCCACCACTAGTATCCCACTGCTGCACCACTAGTATCCCACTGCTGCCACCACTAGTATCCCACTGCTGCCACCACTAGTATCCCACTGCTGCCACCACTAGTATCCCACTGCTGCCACCACTAGTATCCCACTGCTGCCACCACTAGTATCCCACTGCTGCCACCACTAGTATCCCACTGCTGCCACCACTAGTATCCCACTGCTGCCACCACTAGTATCCCACTGCTGCCACCACTAGTATCCCACTGCTGCCACCACTAGTATCCCACTGCTGCCACCACTAGTATCCCACTGCTGCCACCACTAGTATCCCACTGCTGCCACCACTAGTATCCCACTGCTGCCACCACTAGTATCCCACTGCTGCCACCACTAGTATCCACTGCTGCCACCACTAGTATCCCACTGCTGCCACCACTAGTATCCCACTGCTGCCACCACTTTTATCCCACTGCTGCCACCACTAGTATCCCACTGCTGCCACCACTAGTATCCACTGCTGCCACCACTAGTATCCCACTGCTGCCACCACTAGTATCCCACTGCTGCCACCACTAGTATCCCACTGCTGCCACCACTAGTATCCCACTGCTGCCACCACTAGTATCCCACTGCTGCCACCACTAGTATCCCACTGCTGCCACCACTAGTATCCCACTGCTGCCACCACTAGTATCCCACTGCTGCCACCACTAGTATTCCACTGCTGCCACCACTAGTATCCCACTGCTGGCCACCACTAGTATCCCACTGCTGCACCACTAGTATCCCACTGCTGGCCACCACTAGTATTCCACTGCTGCCACCACTAGTATCCCACTGCTGCCACCACTAGTATCCCACTGCTGCACCACTAGTATCCCACCACTGCACCACTAGTATCCCACTGATGGCCACCACTAGTATCCCACTGCTGCCACCACTAGTATCCCACTGCTGCCACCACTAGTATCCCACTGATGGCCACCACTAGTATCCCACTGATGGCCACCACTAGTATCTTACTGCTGCCACCACTAGTATCCCACTGCTGCCACCAGTAGTATCCCAATGCTGCCACCACTAGTATCCCACTGCTGCCACCACTAGTATCCCACTGCTGGCACCACTAGTATCCCACCGCTGCCACCACTAGTATCCCACTGCTGGCACCACAAGTATCCCACTGCTGGCACCACTAGTATCCCACCGCTGACACCACTAGTATCCCACTGCTGCCACCACTAGTATCCCACTGCTGCCACCACTAGTATCCCACCGCTGCCAACACTAGTATCCACTGCTGCCACCACTAGTATCCCACTGCTGGAACCACTAGGTATCAACTGCTGCCACCACTAGTATCCCACGCTGCCACCACTAGTATCCACTGCTGCCACCACTAGTATCCCACTGCTGCCACCACTAGTATCCCACTGCTGGCACCACTAGTATCAAACTGCTGCCACCACTAGTATCCCACTGCTGCCACAAGTAGTATCCCGCTGCTGACCACACTAGTATCCCACCGCTGCCACCACTGGTATCCATCGCTGCCACCACTAGTTCCATCTGCCAAAGTGATCCTGCTGACACCACTAGTATCCCACTGCTGCCACCACTAGTATCCCACTGCTGCCAGCACTAGTATCCCACTGCTGCCACCACTAGTATCCCACTGCTGTCACCACTAATATCAAACTGCTGCCACCACTAGTATCCCACTGCTGCCACAAGTAGTATCCCGCTGCTGACACCACTAGTATCCCACCGCTGCCACCACTGGTATCCCATCGCTGCCACCAGTAGTATTCCACCACTGCCAGCACTAGTATCCCACCACTGCCACCACTAGTATCCCACTGCTGCCACCACTAGTATCCCACTGCTGCCACCACTAGTGTCCCACCACTGCCACCACCAGTATCCCACCGCTGCCACCACTAGTATCCCATGCTGCCACAACTAGTATCCCACTGCTGCTACCACTAGTATCCCACCGCCCCCAAGCTATTGTCTCACTGCTGCCACCACTAGTATCCCACTTCTGCCACCACTAGTATCCCACTGCTGCCACCACTAGTATCCCACCAGTGCCACCACTAGTATCCCACTGCTGCCACCACTAGTATCTCACCACTGCCACCACTAGTATCCCACTGCTGCCACCACTTATATCCCACTGCTGCCACCACTGGTATCCCACTGTTGCCACCACTAGTATTCCACTGCTGCCACTACTATTATCCCACCGCTGCCACCACTAGCATCCCACTGCTAACACTACTAGTATCCCTCTATTACCATCACTAGTATCCCACTGCTGCTACCACTAGTATCCTACTGCTGCCACCACTAGTATCCCACCGCTGCCACCACTAGCATCCCACTGCTAACACTGCTAGTATCCCTCTATTGCCATCACTAGTATCCCACCACTGCCACCACTAGTATCCCACTGCTGCCACCACTAGTATCGTACTGCTGCCACCATTAGCATCCCACCGCTGCCACCAATAGCATCCCACCGCTGCCACCACTAGTATCCAACCGCTGCTACCACTAGTATCCTACCACTGCCACCACTAGTATCCCAATGCTGCCACCACTAGTATCCCACCGCTGCCACCACTAGTATCCCACAGCTGCCACCACTAGTATCCCACTGCTGCCACCACTGGTATCCCACTGCTGCCACCACTATTATCCCACTGCTGCCACCACTAGTATCCCACTGCTGCCACCACAAGTATCCCACTGCTGCCACCACTAGTATCAAACTCTGCCACCACTAGTATCCCACTGCTGCCACAAGTAGTATCCCGCTGCTGACACCACTAGTATCCCACCGCTGCCGCCACTAGTATCCCATCGCTGCCACCAGTAGTATTCCACCACTGCCAGCACTAGTATCCCACCACTGCCACCACTAATATCCCACTGCTGCCACCACTAGTATCCCACTGCTGCCACCACTTGTATCCCACAGCTGCCACCACTACTATCCCACTGCTGCCACCACTATTGTCCCACCACTGCCACTACCAGTATCCCACCGCTGCCACCACTAGTATCCCACTGCTGCCACAACTAGTATCCCACTGCTGCTACCACTAGTATCCCACCACTGCCAACGCTAGTGTCCCACTGCTGCCACCACTAGTATCCCACTTCTGCCACCACTAGTATCCTACTGCTGCCATCACTAGCATACCACCACTGCCACCAATAGCAACCCACTAACACCAATACCATCCCACCACTACCACTAGTATTAACCCACTGCTGCTACCAGTATCAACCCACCACTGCCACCAGTATTAATCCACCACTGTCACCAACAGCAACCCACTACTGACACTTCTCCCTCACCATACTTCCAACATTGCTCCACCGCTGCAATCTTCCGCAACACAGCCGTCACTCACGCAACACTGAGCATCAGTTTAGCATCAACACAGTTATTTCAGAAATATATAACCAATGTTGAATTTTTTCTGTTTTTTTTTTTAACTTATTCCTCTTTGCCTGGTTTCTGTTATATATGTCCTTCTGTAGCCTGGTTTCTGTTACATGTATTTTTGTGTAGTCTGGTTTCTGTTACCTGTTTTCTTCAGTCAGTTGGTTGCGTTACTTACATTTGTCTGTCTCTTGGGTTCTGCTATAATATTCCGTTGCTTGTTTTTCTTATATTTTTTTACGTTGTTTGGTTTCTGTCGATTGAGTATTTTCTGTTTTCTGACTTTCGATGTTTATCTCTCTCTCTCTCTCTCTCTCTCTCTCTCTTCTCTTTCACTTTCTGGCATTATTTGTTTTACTAGCCTGGAGTTTTCATTCATTTTTATTTAGGTTGAGTAAGGTTTGTCAGGAAACAGGACAAGTGTTTCCTGACGCGGGTGTTAGTCATATGATGACCCGCCGCTGGAGCTTTGGGTTATCTGACAGAGTCCTTCCGCTGGCTTTCCCGTCCACCCCTTTAAAAATTAGGGTTTATAAGTTTCAATTTTTATTTGTGTTGCTGTCGACGTAGGTGTGACTAGTGTATTGCCGTGACCTGTGTTTCACTGTGACCTGTGAACAGTGTTTCAATGCGACATATGACCAATGTTTCAATATATATGACCAGAGTTTCATTGTAACCTGTAAAGTGTCATATTGTGACCTGTAACCAGTGTTTCATTGTGGCATGTGACCAGTGTTTCATTGTGACCTGTAACCAGTCTTTCATTGTGACCTGTGATCAGTGTTACAGTGTGACCTGTAACCAGTGTTTTATTGTAACTTGTAACCAGTGTTTCATTGTGACATGTAACCAGTGTTTCATTGTGACCTGTAACCAATGTTATATTGTGACCTGTAACCAGTGTGTCATTGTGACCTGTGGTCGGCAGGTCAGGGCGTGTTGTGGGCGCTAGTGGTGGTGTCTGCGCTGTATTCCTTGGCGGGCGGCCTCCTGATTGTGGCTGTTTTGTGGGTGAGTACAACCAACCTGTGTGTGTGTGAGAGAGAGAGAGAGAGAGCAGTGTTAACAACTAAGGTAATTCTGCTCGTATGTTAACGATATCTTTGGAACTAAATGTAGAATATTCATCCGAGTGTATCATCCACCCACCAGAATCCCAGCGACTAATCCATACAGTCCAGCTGGGATACATGTCAACATGGGTATCAGTCATGTGTTATCCCCGAAGGAGTATCTTTAATTGACTGCTTTGAAGTATTCGTTTTTTTTTTCTTCCTCCAAACCATCGTTTATAACTTAAGGCCATCTCGTCAGATCGACTTCAACATTACACCGCAGGTTCACTGGGTAAGGGTTCACGGAGCTGCTGGTGTGTGCAGGTGTTCTGTGATCACTGGAATATAACCCTCCTCCTCCTCCTCCTCCTCCTCTTCCTCCTCAAGGTTCCTGGAATTGGTCTGATAACTTGTAAAAGCCTCTCCTAACTAACTTAAAACACTCATCACTGGAGTATCATTTTTAGATCCAGATGGGGGTTGTAACTGGATAATTGAAGTATCGAGGTACACATTGCAGTTACATTTGTAATATATTGTAGATTTTTTCCCACATAAATCACATGATGTATATCTGAATATTCCTCTACCAATAGGCTTCAGTCTTGAAGTGGTGATGTATCTTACGTACATGATAATTTTCAGTAAATTTCAGTCTATATAGATGTAGATGCGACAATTTACTAACATAAAAGAGTTTGGAATCATTGTATTCTGAGCAATAACAGAAGAATGCCTCTTCTCATCGGTTTTCAAAATTTCACAGACAGTGGACGTTGAGATTAAGACACAGGTGCAACATCTCCACGACTATGGTGCTCTTCGCACCTACTCCTAGGTTGAGGGACTGATTACCTCATCTTCTGTACATAGTTCTACTGTCTTCAAGTTATGTCCTAGAATTTGTATTGATAAAGCCACTGGATGGCGAAACGTCTACAATAAAGATACCCAGATGTTGCACCTGTGCTTTAATCTCATCTTGTCGGTATTATATACCATTCGTACACGACAGTGGACGTTACCAATAGAAAGTTCGCCCTTCACTTTGAACTGCAGGTATTTTAAAGTGCCAGTTTTGTTGAACAGATTGTTTCTTCGTAATACCTAGAGAATGTTTCTTCTGATCGCTTCAATCTCAAAACTCAGGTGTCCTTATGAGAATTTTGTATGTATTGATTTTAGGCTGTACAGGTGTTGAAGAAACTGTAAAAATTAAAGTTTCTCTCCAACATAAATTATTTTTCTTAAAGAATTGTATAAAATTTTAAAATGAAAACGGTGTAATTTTTAAAGGACATCTGCGGCCGAGGTATCTATGGTCGCCATGAGAACGAGTTGACGGATACCCGGGTCATGAGGTTCCTAAGTGAACCACTGAAACAAGACTACAGCTCCAACCTGCCTCATGAAGTATGAGTTAGCAACAAGGAAATGAGGATGAATAATTAATCCTGAAGGCATAGAGTATATTATATTTTATATCACATGGGAAGATTGTGTTCGTTTAGGAAAAACCGAGATGATAGTTACAAAAGCAACCCACTTACTGTACCTAAAATCTCGTAATGAGCTATTTATACAGACATGAATTCAGCCACTAAGACATTACAGAATAAAGTACACTGCAAATGTGTTTGTGATTGAGTTCAAGTCAGCATAAACTCATTACAATTGGCATCAGAACATAAACAGATAAATAGTTCATTACCACTGTAATCAAAATATAAAAAATTATATAGTTCATTACTACTAAAATTTCATTAGCAATCCAATTCTGAGGCCCAGTTTTTGGACTCACCATTACGTGCCTCTGTAATCTTCTGATCACAGCCCACAGGATGGGTGTGGAGTGCATGATAAAAGATATTAAACTAGCTATAGAAGATAGTGCTCAGTCTGTGAAGCAAGACCTACATAGATCCTACACGTCCTCATGTGTATGTCACCACCTCTTACAAAACCTTCAAAACCTAAAAACTGTAACTGATTTGTTTATCAGAATTAACCTGTTTTCTAATTCAGTTTGGAATCACTTGTGTTCCACAATAAAGCTCAAAAGGAGATTTACGTGACACATTTTTATTTCTAATCACTGTGTTACGAAGTGTACAATAACCAGGAAGACCTTGGGACGCACTCAACGATTATTACCTAAAATAAAAATTCTGATTTGTACCTTTTCCTGTGCCTGATTCCTCAACCTGATGACACATACCTGCATATTTTCAGTCAAATTTTATGGTTTCCATCATAGCCTGAAGTTTTTACTAGTAAAAGTTAGACAAGTCAGATGTCGAGTAACGTTGGCACTGCTTTGGAAATTCGTTATAGCCCTGTGTTCAGAAGTAGTGACTGACCACAAGGCTCCAGTGGTGTCTGAGGCACTGGTTATGAAGGTTAGTCAGTAGGTGACTCACAGGAGCTGGTGCACAGTGGCTTGTCTGGGAAAGATGAATATAATGTTCGGTCGATTTGAGCGTGTTTGGAGGTCGTTTGAACTCTAACCTGCAACTAGATCGAACCCAGGTCGTTCCGTTATGAGCAAAATTCGATACCACTCGACTGCTAGCTACCTTAACTATCAAATATTCAAGAAGCGTTGCCCTTTTAGAGTAACCCTTACTATGCAGATCTCAGTACAAAAAAGTGGTGGGGACTCGATCTTCCGTCTGCGTAGAGCGAGACAGACGTGCTCATTTGTCACTGTATGAAGTGTAAAGTAATCTTGGCAACAGATCACTGTAATAGTTACTGCACATTGAGTTACGAGGTGAAGGAGGTTATTAAAATATTTTTTATATGCTCGTTCCAAAATATGTGACAAGGAACACAAGGTGTATTATGACGGTACACACACTTATCAAAATCTCATCAATAATATTGGCACTAGGAGGTTATATTTTGGACTGTGAAATCAATGTACGGCGTTAGTAATGATCCCAGTGGAGGTGGTGGCAGGTAGTGTAGGTGGTGGCAGGTAGAGTAGGTGGTGGCAGGTAGTGTAGTTGGTGGCAGGTAATGCTGGTGGTGACAGGTAGTGTAGTTGGTGGCAGGTGGTGTAGGTGGTGGCAGGTAGTGTAGATGGTGGCAGGTACTGTAGGTGGTGGCAGGTAGTGTAGGTGGTGACAAGTAGTGTAGGTGGTGGCAGGTAATGTAGGTGGTGCAGGTATGTAGGTGGTGGCAGGTAGTGTAGGTGGTGGCAGGTAGTGTAGATGGTGGCAGGTAGTGTAGGTGGCAGGAGTGTAGTGGCAGGTACTGTAGGTGGTGGCAGGTACTGTAGGTGGTGGCAGGTAGTGTAGGTGGCGGCAGGTTGTGTAGGTGGTGGCAGGTAGTGTAGTTAATGGCAGGTAGTGTAGGTGGCGGCAGGTAGTGTAGGTGGTGGCAAGTAGTGCAGGTGGTGGCAGACAATGTAAGTGGTGGCAGGCGAAGGAGGTGGTGGCAGGTAACTAGGGTGGTGGCAGGGGGTGTTGGTGGTGGCAAGGGGTCGCAAGGATGTGACCACATAAAACCAGATCGATAAGTAAATTTGAAAACATTTCCGAGTCCTCGATCTGACACCCAGCTGCCGCCATTCCTCCCGCATCTCACAACCCATACCTATAAACATTACCGAATGCACACACTGCCTACCATGTTTAATAACATAAGGAAGAAATCCTGTAGCAAATAATACATACCCTTGGCTAATTTATTCCATATAGACCTAGGTGACCTGAGAGGTTTCAATAATGTGCCAAACGTAATTCAGCTTGTCTAAGGTAATTCAGAAATTACTAATTAATACAAGACTAGGCCAGATTCTCCTGGGAAAAGATTCAAACTTTTCAAACTACAGTAAGATAGCAATTACTATCAGATAGTAATTCCTAGAATAAAAAAATTTTTCCATACCCATAGAAAATAAACTTTTGAATATTTTTTATATGCCTTCAGTAATGCTTTTTATTTTGTTATTAGTCAATGAAGGTATTCAGGGTCACAATATTCAGGGTCACAATATTCAGGGTCACAATATTCAGGGTCACAATATTCAGGGTCACAATATTCAGGGTCACAATATTCAGGGTCACAATATTCAGGGTCACAATATTCAGGGTCACAATATTCAGGGTCACAATATTCAGGGTCACAATATTCAGGGTCACAATATTCAGGGTCACAATATTCAGGGTCACAATATTCAGGGTCACAATATTCAGGGTCACAATATTCAGGGTCACAATATTCAGGGTCACAATATTCAGGGTCACAATATTCAGGGTCACAGTATTCAGGGTCACAATATTCAGGGTCACAATATGGTAATTCTGTAAATTGTTATTTAACCCCGCCCACATTTATGATGACGTATAATGACATCATAATCATTTGAGAGTCTGATTGGCAGGGGAAACAGCCTCATTTATGAAGTATAATGACGTCATAACATTCTGAGAGATCTGATTGGCAGGAACAACCACAGATATAACGTATAATGACGTCATAACTCAGAGGTCTGATTGGCAGGAACAACCTCAGATATAACGTATAATGACGTCATAACTCAGAGGTCTGATTGGCAGGAACAACCTCAGATATAACGTATAATGACGCCATAACAAACTCAGAGGTCTGATTGGCAGGAATAACCTCAGATATATTCTTGTTAAAAGATTGTTCTATCTTGTTCTATCTCAGTTGTTCTATCTGCGCTTCTTCCTCTCTTTATCTGATGATTCTCATTCTCCCACCTCATCGTTCTCACTACTTATTCTCTTATTTTTCTATTTATTCTCTTGTTTATAATATTTCTCGCTATTTATTGTCTTATAGCTTTTATAATTTGTTTATTCCTCTTATTTCGTATTAATTATTATTTCTCTTATTTTCTTTTATTGTTTTATTCCTCTCACTTCTCACTATTTGTTCTTTCAGCTCTCACTATTTTCTTAATTTTCACTATTTATTCTCTCATTTCTTACTATTTATTCTATTTCTCACTGCTTGTTCTCTTATTTTTTTTATCTTATTTTTCTTATTTCTCACTAATTATTCTCTTATTTCTTTTATTTTTCATTGTATATTATTTCTTTAATTTTTTCATTTATTTCCTGTTCTTCCCTTCAAAGATTTATCCATCTGGCAACCGTCGAGGGTTCTTGATTCAAGGAAATGGAGCTTCCTCTCCCATTCCCCCCTCTCCCCCCCTCCCCCCCTCTCACCCTCCCCCCCCTCTCCCCCAAATGTTGCAGCGGTCATAAGGTCCGGCATTATCCAACAAGATAATGTTCCCTCCCCCTTCTTTCCCCCGTTTCCCTCCCCTCTCTCATCCCTCACCTCCCTCCCCGCACCCACCCCTCACCTCTCTCACCTCCCTCCCCCTCCTCCCCCCTCACAACAACACGCACACCTGTCATGCTGATGCAGCTGCAGTTGATGCAGCTGCTCGTGGTGGGTTTTTTTTTATTTGTTACTGATGTGTGTAATTACCTGTCTGCAGCTGCAGCAGCGGGACAGTGCTGCTCCTGGTCTCCCTTCTCTTACAATTTGTTCGAAGTATGGAGCTTTTTTTGTGCCGGGGCTTGGACAGCTAGCAGGCGCGTGTGTCAGCGTGTTAGATAAGAGGCAAGTTTTTTTTTTTTTTTTTTAAGGATTTGACGTTCTGCTGGAGTGTGAGCAAAGTAACTTTTATGAAGGGATTCAGGGAGGTTACCTGGAGGTTATTCCGGGGATCAACGCCCCCGCGGCCCGGTCCATGACCAGGCCTCCCGATGGATCAGGGCCTGATCAACTAGGCTGTTATCGCTGGCCGCACGCAGTCCAACGTACGAGCTACAGCCCGGCTGATCCAGCACTGACTTTAGGTATCTGTCCAGCTCTCTCTTGAAGGCAGCCAGGGGTTTATTGGCAATTCCCCTAATGCTTGATGGGAGGCTGTTGAACAGTCTTGGGCCCCGGACACTTATGGTGTTTTCCCTTAGTGTACCAATGGCTCCCCTACTTTTAATTGGGGGTATTTTGCATCGCCTGCCCAGTCTTTTACTTTCGTAAGGAGTGATTTCTGTGTACAGATTCGGGACCATTCCTTCCAGGATTTTCCAAGTGTAGATTATGATATATCTCTCCCTCCTGCGTTCCAACGAGTACAAGTCAAGTGCTTCCAAGCGTTCCCAGTAGTTAAGGTGCTTGACAGAACTTATACGTGCAGTAAAGGATCTCTGTACACACTCTAGATCTGCAATTTCACCTGCTTTGAATGGAGATGTTAATGTACAGCAGTATTCCAGCCTAGAGAGAACAAGTGATTTGAAAAGGATCATCACTGGCTTGGCATCTCTCGTTTTGAACGTTCTCATTATCCATCCTATCATTTTCTTTGCACTTGCGATCGTGGCACTGTTGTGATCCTTGAAAGTGAGATCCTCAGACATTACTACTCCCAGGTCCTTACATTATTTTTCCTCTCTATTGTATGGCCAGAGTCTGTAGTATACTCTGTTCTAGTTATTATCTCCTCCAGTTTTCCGGTTAACCGGACTTGAGTCGTGGAGGTGGGAAGTACAGTGCCGGAACTCTGAAGGAGGGATGGGGGTATTTTGCAGTTTGGCGGGGCATCAGTGCGCCTCTGGCAGTGAATGATGGAGAAAGTGTTTCTCCTTTTTCGGGTCATCTTACCTTGGTGGGGCACAGCCGGTGTATTATATATATATATATTTTTATATATATATATATATATATATATATATATATATATATATATATATATATATATATATATATATATATCATCTTTATTTTCTAAACAGATCATAACGCTCCCATGTGGTGATTTTGCCAGGAATACCCGCCAGGTAATATCAATATCAATATCAATGTTTCTGCCATGAATACGTCCCCCATGGAGCACCACAGCGGCCGGCTACACCATTCCCTGTTGGCACTGTCACAAGATATATGTAGGGAAAACCGGAAGAAATCATTGGGTCCCGCCTAAGAGAACATGGAAGCGCCTGTAAGAGGGACGACTTCAAGAACTCCTGTGTCCTCCACAGGAACTCTACGGGACATTAGATGAGCTAGAAAGAGGCACAACTCATCTTTACTGGACATGATCTTAGACGCCGACAGTGTCTAGAAGCCTCGCCAATCGCCGTTGCCAACACCGTGAAACATAATTCTAGAAGCTACAAATTAAAAAAAAAATGGCATATATGATACTCAACCAGGTTAAGCCCAACCAACCTAACAACACAGGAATCACATCACCTTATTTCAAAAAAAAAAAGCCTTATTGGCATTTTTCAGGTCACTGTTTCACAGTCACACCTCACTTCCAGCATGTATTTATATATTCTGTTATTTTCGATCTTCGTATGTTACAAGTTATCAAGGTCTCAGGACCGAAACGTTTCCTAATACATATGTTCTAATGTTTATTTACGTGATTTCTTAAACCCAAGAAACACCAGTCACTCAAAATTCAACTCGTTCAGAAGTGACATACTCAAGTTATTTAATGGAAAAAATATGTAATATTTAATATAAAATTGCCAACTTCATTAACAATCCCGAGCTTCTTCTAAGCATAATACACCAGTTTTGAAAGTTGGAACCCGATCAGAAGCGGCATTCTGAAGCTATCGCACGGAAAACAAACTCTGGAATAGTCTACATATAATTAACAAGATAGTGCCTACAAATGCCAATAAGTCCATGAACCCCTTCCTTACTTATAATTTAGCGGCGCTGCAAAAGTTGAAGTCGATTAGATGAAGCATTCTCAAGTTACAAATTAAAACCGAAAATCTAAAAAGGTAGGGGGAAAATCACGCAACCTTTTAAATGTTTCCGTCCAGGGATACTTGATAACTACCAATTAACAGACAAACTACTAATTAGTGGCCCAGGTACAACTAACCACAGGTCCACTACCCATTCATCTAACCCAACAACTAGTTAACGAACCATTCAACATCCAGCTCACCACCCAACAACTAATTACTCACTTGCAAACTACCACCAGCTCTGCTAACTAATAAACTAGCCACCCAAAAACAAACGACAGATCTACCAGCTAAACACACACCACTAACAAACCACCAGGTATGCAAGCTAACCACCCACCCGCCCACCCACCAGGGACACCACCCATCCACTAGGGACACCACCCATCCAACAAATAACCCTCCCGTCCCCACTAACACTGAGTGTCTTCCCAGTGCGTGTCGTGGCAGCTGTCCATCTGGTTCTTCTACACGGTGGGCTTCGACCTCTTTATGCTGATTGTAGCCATGGCTGATGGCGTCTACACCAGCTTTTCAGACATCTCCAGCTACGTTGTTTGCCTCGTCACCACATACTGCGTCATAGTCGTCGACTCCTACTATGAGAAGGTAGGGATGGAGAGTATTGCACTCAGCAGTCAACTCACTTATATGTGTGATTGAAAAGGTTCATCCAGAATTGAATAGCAGATACTGTTGAGTCCTTGTCATGTACTGTTTAATAAAAAGAAATCGCAGTATGTAGAAGACCTTATAAGTGAGCTGAGTGTTATCTAGATCCAAAATTTCCGTTCTGAAATTCAGTTTTCATATTCCCATTTTCTTATCCAGTTTTAATATCTCAATCATCTCATCCAGTTCTAATATCCGATCTTGTTATCCAGCTCTCATATCCGATCTTGTTAGCCAGTTCTCAGTAAACAAGAAAGGCAAGGCAGGTGTTGTGGTAGGATGCTGAGGCAGGTGTGGTAGGATGCTGGGGCAGGTGTTGTGGTAGGATGCTGGGGCAGGTGTTGTGGTAGGATGCTGGGGCAGGTGTTGTGGTAGGATGCTGGGGCAGGGGTTGTGGTAGGGTGCTGGGGCAGGTGTTGTGGTAGGATGCTGGGGCAGGGGTTGTGGTAGGACGATGAGGCAGGTGTTGTGGTAGGATGCTGAGGCAGGTGTTGTGATAGGACGATGAGGCAGGTGTTGTGGTAGGGTGCTGAGGCAGGTGTTGTGATAGGGTGCTGGGGCAGGTGTTGTGGTAGGATGCTGGGGCAGGGGTTGTGGTAGGATGATGAGGTAGGTGTTGTGGTAGGATGCTGAGGCAGGTGCTGTGGTAGGACGATGAAGCAGGTGTTGTGGTAGGGATGCTGAGGCAGTGCTGTGGTAGGATGCGAGGCAGGTGCTTGTGGTAGGATGATGAGGTAGGTGTTGTGGTAGGATGCTGAGGCAGGTGCTGTGGTAGGACGATGAGGCAGGTGTTGTGGTAGGATGCTGAGGCAGGTGCTGTGGTAGGACGATAAGGCAGGTGTTGTGGTAGGATGCTGAGGCAGGTGTTGTGATAGGACGATGAGGCAGGTGTTGTGGTGGGATGCTGAGGCAGGTGCTGTTGTGGTAGGATGCTGAGGCAGGTGCTGTGGTAGGACGATGAGGCAGGTGTTGTGGTAGGACGATGAAGCAGGTGTTGTGGTAGGATGCTGGGGCAGGGGTTGTGGTAGGATGCTGAGGCAGGTGTTGTGGTAGGATGCTGAGGCAGGTGTTGTGATAGGACGATGAGGCAGGTGTTGTGGTGGGATGCTGAGGCAGGTGCTGTGGTAGGATGATGAGGTACGTGTTGTGGTAGGATGCTGAATCAGTTGTTGTTGTGGTAGGATGCTGAGGCAGGTGCTGTGATAGGACGATGAGGCAGGTGCTGTGGTAGGATGATGAGATACGTCTTGTGGTAGGATGCTGAGGCAGGTGTTGTGGTAGGATGCTGAGGAAGGTGCTGTGGTAGGTCGATGAGGCAGGTGTTGTGGTAGGATGCCGAGGCAAGTGCTGTGGTAGGACGATGAAGCAGGTGCTGTGGTAGGATGCTGAGGCAGGTGTTGTGGTAGGATGCTGGGGCAGGGGTTGTGGTAGGATGCCGAGGCAGGTGTTGTGGTAGGATGCTGAGGCAGGTGTTGTGGTAGGATGCTGAGGCAGGTGCTGTGGTAGGATGCTGAGGCAGGTGTTGTGGTAGGATGCTGAGGCAGGGGTTGTGGTAGGATGCCGAGGCAGGTGTTGTGGTAGGATGCTGAGGCAGGTGTTGTGGTAGGATGCTGAGGCAGGTGTTGTGGTAGGATGCTGAGGCAGGTGTTGTGGTAGGATGCTGAGGCAGGTGTTGTGGTAGGATGCTGGGGCAGGTGTTGTGGTAGGATGCTGAGGCAGGTGCTGTGGTAGGATGCTGAGTCAGGTGTTGTGGTAGGATGCTGAGGCAGGTGCTGTGGTAGGATGCTGAGGCAGGTGTTGTGGTAGAATGCTGAGGCAGGTGTTGTGGTAGGATGCTGAGGCAGGTGTTGTGGTAGGATGCTGAGGCAGGTGTTGTGGTAGAATGCTGAGGCAGGTGTTGTGGAAGTATGCTGAGGCAGGTGTTGTGGTAGGATGCTGAGGCAGGTGTTGTGGTAGTATGCTGAGGCAGGTGTTGCGGTAGTATGCTGAGGCAGGTGTTGTGGTAGGATGCTGAGGCAGGTGTTGTGGTAGTATGCTGAGGCAGGTGTTGTGGTAGTATGCTGAGGCAGGTGTTGTGGTAGGATGCTGAGGCAGGTGTTGTGGTAGGATGCTGAAGCAGGTGCTGTGGTAGGATGCTGAGGCAGGTGTTGTGGTAGGATGCTGAGGCAGGTGTTGTGGTAGGATGCTGAGGCAGGTGTTGTGGTAGGATGCTGAGGCAGGTGCTGTGGTAGTATGCTGAGGCAGGTGTTGTGGTAGTATGCTGAGGCAGGTGTTGTGGTAGAATGCTGAGGCAGGTGCTGTGGTAGGATGCTGAGGCAGGTGTTGTGTAGGATGCTGAGGCAGCGTTTGTGGTAGTAATGCTGAGGCAGTTTGTGTGGTAGGTATATGCTGAGGCAGGTGTTGTGGTAGGATGAAGGGTATGAACGTAGAGAGGCAACAGAATAATCTCCTGAAGGAGTATCCAGTGTGCAACTTTCACACCATGGGCTAATTATTTGGGTCGTAACCTTGCTTCCCACTTTCTTACCCTAATCAACTTCCTCGTATTCCCTTAAAAAAAATCCAAAATTGGTTCAATTTTTTTCAATAACAATATATAATAATAATTATAATATATATAATATTGTAATATAGTAATAATTTATTGTTAGTATTATTATTATTATATTGTGTGAGTGTGTGGCTGAATTCTGAGCGGTTGTGTATCATTTTTTTGCAGGTACTAAATGATTTAATTTTTCGAAATTATGTTCGGTAAATAAGATTTTTTTTTACTGCATTTTTAATGTTTGTATATGCAATTTACATGGTGTTATGTTTTAAGATGCTGAGCATTGTCCGTTTTATGACTTGTCTTTTCAGTTTGTTTTTAGGTATTGTATAGCATGATACAGTGTTTTCAAAAAGATGAATTGAACTTTTTATGTTGTATTTGTTAGTGTATGTTAGTGAGTAATATGCTGATGTGTCAGATGTTCACTTCGAGTAGATGAGAATTCTTGCAGTGTGTTTTGGTGATGATATGCTAGCAGGTGTTGATGTAATCTCCCATGGTGCTATGATGTACTCTCCCCATGTGTATGATGTCTCTCCATGGGCTATGATGTACTTCCATGGTGAAATGATTATCTCCCTGGTGCTATGATGTCTTCCATGGTGCTATGATGTTACTCTCCCATGGTGCTATGATGTACTTCCCCATGGTGCTATGATGTATCTCGCCATGGTGTATGATGTACTCTCCCATGGTGCATGATGTACTCTCCCATGGTGCTATGATGTACTCTCCCCATGGTGCTATGATGTACTGTCCCCATGGTGTTGATGTATTCTCCCATGGTGATATGATGTACTCTCCCATGGTGATGATGTACTTTCCCCATGGTGTATGATGTACTCTCCCATGGTGCTATGATGTACTCTCCCCATGGTGATGTGATGTATTCTCCCATGGTGATATGATGTATTCTCCCATGGTGCTATGATGTACTCTCCCATGGTGCTATGATTTACTC